AAGATCTAGACTGAGTGATTATGAGTTTAGCCATAACATATAGTGGCGGTCTTTAAAGTAAAATTATCACAGACTGTACTGTAATAACAGAATAGGAAGAATAATTCATTTTGTCTAATGTCTAATTATGTTATAAAGTAACTGAACCAGCCTATGTGGTTTTTGACAAAAAGGAGACAATTATTTAAAGCTCTGGATACAACTGTGATGACCAACAGTGTAACAAACATTTGTATACATACTTGACTTGTTTTATTATATTATTTTAGAACAAGTGGAGTGTGTTGCAGTTTGTTTAGTGTTGAAATTTATTGCTAAAAAGTCACAGACATCTAGATAAAAAAGAGACAGGCAAGGAGGTGAGAGATGGTACAGAGGAGTACATATATATCTGAAATACATTTTCAAGTAAAGAAAATGTTAATTTCAGAAATGTTACTTACCTTCATGTACCACTAAGAGCTAGAATCCCATAATGAAGGTAGTGGAGGGTCCAGTGCTGATCGATTACAAAGACAAGCTCCTTTCTGAAATAGTGAAAGAAAGGGAAAGCCCATGAGGTACAACTTCCACAAGGTCAGGGTTAACTAGTGATGCAGCACCTGGAGGGATACCACATCCTGCTCAGGCAGGGAATACACTTTACCCAACAGTTTTACATTTGTTATACTACTTTGATAGTAGAGGAAAGGACATCAGGAAAATCCAGTGCTGGTGGTTCTGTGTCACCAATGTGTACTACAACTAGAGCTTCAGGACATTCCACCTCAGTCAGATACTTACCTACAATAAGTACTATAATAAAAGGTAGAAAGAAGAGGAGCCCTCACCTGCATCCCAAGGCAAATCTAAGTCCCATCTGGCTGGATATATAAGCTAGAAATTGCTTCATAGATATTGTAAAAAGGTGTCCTATAATACACTTCCAATTAACATCTCAGCCCTAGATCTCACAGTAGGGCTTGACCCAACTGGTCTCTAACCAGAATGAAGGCACCACTCACAAAAATAACTCTCCATATCAAGTTCCCCAGCAGTTTCAGATTGTGGAAGTAAGGATCTGCCCTTGCTTCACTAGAAAACCACGGATGGAGAAATATGTGTGGAGGTAGAACACCAGTGTGTGTGTGTGCATGGACCACCAGATTAACAGATTTTTCAGTAAAACTGTGACAATCCCAATTTTTGGCCTTGTTATTTTGTCCTTATCAGAAAAAGTAAAAGTATTAAATTGCCCCAATTTTTCTGTACTTCATTGTAAATTTGATATCTATGGTTTGTCAATATACATAGCTTCTTTAAACTTTACTTGGAAAATCACCTAACAAAGATCCTACAGTACATTGTTCCCTTCCTCTCTGCTATGTTTCTTAACCAAACCTGTCATTTGACAGCTGCAAAAATTAAGATTTGAAGACCTACCCAGCCACGAAAAAGAAAATGAATAATCATTTTTCTTTTGAGTAGTTTTGAGACAACTTTGGCATCAGATTAGTTTGCAAATGGTAAAAATTTGGATTATTGTAATCGAAATTTGTAATTTCAGAGCTGTTAAGTGTCACTTCATATGGAAGAAAAGTCCCAGTTTTTCACTCTGGAAACCTAAACCTAAGCCAGACTGATTGCTGAGTTGTGATGGAGAAATTAATTTTGTTGTCATCCCTTGTGTGGTTACTATATTGAACTGTGTGTATATAGACATGTTTTGTAGTTGATGTCACACAATATCATCTGGATGGATGAATACGGCAGAAAGGGACATTCGTGTTCTATTACCATCTGTAATTGCTCATACTTTTGTGATGATACATCAATCTAGATGGAGTGGTCTAACCCTATAGATAGTGCTTTTTCATTTGCTTTGATGTATGCAGAATGTGAGGCATGCTCAAGTCAATTGGCATGCAAACTGAGCTAACTGCTGAACGATGATGTCAAGTACTGCAAGTACTTGTTAGTGAATATTAGACAAATAGATGGATATATATGTGTGTGTGTGTGTGTGTGTGTGTGCACATGTGAGTAAATTATGTTGTTCACTACACGTGTATCAGTTTATGCATCATGTAAAAATATTTCATATATATGACATCACATTTTTTCACACAAATACAAAATTTGGCTTCAAACACTGAGACGTGACATGTTTAATGACTAGCTTAGACGGCACTGGGAAAAAAAAACAAAGTATGTAGTGTGTTTTCTTAAGGCAAGCAAAAGATATTTTCAGTTTGGTTTCAAACTTTAATATTCACAAGCACAGAATTTGTCACTATGAAAAACCAGGATTGCTTGAGAATCTACACCACACCAAGTAAGAAGCATGATGGACCCATTCCTCTGATTGGTGTTAATGAAGGACTGTATTTCTTTGTCTTTAGGAAATGAAATTATTATTACTTGTTTACTCAAAAATGGTGTACCTATTGTTTCTCAGTAGTTTTTATTTAGAAATATTCGATTTGCATGATCAAACAATTTCCAAACATTGGTATATATTACTAAATGTTTTATCTCAGTATTATTTTTGAACAAGATAGTCATTGTACATGAATTTTGTATTAACTGTATCAATTTATAGTGTTATAACAACATTATTTTTTGTTAATTATATCAATACAATTTTGACTTATTTATGAAATAAAGCATTATTTTACTTATTTAGATTATATTCAACTTGTGTTGTAAAGAAAGTTGAAGCTTGGGGTTGTTTGCGAGTTGTTTGATCTCAGGTTTAAGGACAGTTCAAACCATTTGCAATCTCCGTTTCTTCATTGGATCTGGGCTCTTCATAAGCATTCCAACATTAGAAAGAGAGCTCACATTTCAAAGATGAGAGCTGTTCAATTTATTCATACCATTTATTTTTAGCCTTAAATCCTTTCTTCCATACATTTTTGAACAATAAAATTATAAATGTAATTTCTTAATTTACACATCAACTTTAATTTAAAAGAATATATTGTATTTCCCTAGTCACAACTGTAAAAGAACATATTGTATTTCCCTAGTCACAGCTATAAAAGAATATATTGTATTTCCCTAGTCACAACTATAAAAGAATATATTGTATTTCCCTAGTCACAACTATAAAAGAATATATTGTATTTCCCTAGTCACAACTATAAAAGAATATATTGTATTTCCCTAGTCACAACTATAAAAGAATATATTGTATTTCCCTAGTCACAACTATAAAAGAATATATTGTATTTCCCTAGTCACAACTGTAAAAAAATGCCAGTACCTCGAAGAGTAATTGCATGATGCATACAGCCATATAATTTCCTCAGATTTATGTACTGGTTAACATAGGTGCACTAAGTAACATAATGTAATAAAAAAATAGGAAATGTTCAGTAAATTTTAATTTACAGGGATATATGAATACTTGTAAATTAAGTAATAGATAATATAATATAATATACACAAATTTAAATTAACATATTAAATTTGTTGTATTCAGTTTCTCATTTTTCCCTGAAGAAACACCAGTAACAATTTTTTGTAAGCACTGTAATTAAGTCCTTGAAATACAGTAGTGTCATTCATCCTCATAAGCTCTTTAATTAAAATAACATGGAATATTCACACAATATAATCAACATGTGCTTACAATTCTAAACATAATGTGGTTATTAAGAAAAAAATGGATTAACTAAAAACTTTAGCATTACAGTGAGTTAGAGATGAAAATAAACTAACTCTTGATTTTACTGTTAATGTCCTTATCATAAGAAAACCTGAAACCTAAACTCAATTTTCTGCCACATAGCTTTAACATCAAATAAACCCTAAATGTATTCATGAAAACCATTGATACTAAACATGTACATGATGTGAACTGCTACAGTATCAAACTAAATTTGAACAATGACAAATAGGGCATGTCCATACATTTATGCCTGCTTCAATTGAAAAAAACAAAAAACAGATATGACTGGAGAAATCAATTACTAAACATTAGAAAACTGCTCAGTATTTCTGTTTGAAAATGACTATATTCAAATCAATTTTTACTTTCTCAAAGGGGGGGTGCATGTGCAATGACAGCTTTTAAAGAACAAATGGTTCCTTGTTAGCCATATGTTATCCTCATTAGTATGGTAATGGTTAATAAAGCTAATTTCCTTTCAACAAGATGGTAAAGCGACCAACCAGAATCTTCTACACAAAACCTCTGGATAAAGTTCAAGAAGGTACTCTTCCTCACAACTTAGCCTGACTCCATATATAAGTTATAACAAAAGCAATTATATACCCTCAACCCCCACCTTTCTTTTTCAAGATTTCATGTATTTATATTGGATAATGTAAAATTTCACCTTCAAAAACTCAGAAAATCCTTCTCTGATCCAGAATGATTAACACACCAGGTCATTTAATGTAGTGCAACAGAATCTCAACCTTCATATGCCCATGAAATTTGGTACAAATCTGATCACACTTTATAGAGTTATTATTATAACCCAAAAACTGTAAAAATGCCCTATCTCCACATCATAAAAAACGTTTCAAACTGATCCAGAATCCAGATACGGAACAAATTTGGGAAGGAATATCACATACTAACTTCCCATCTTATGTAAAATTTTCGTGTACATCAGTCTATTAATATTAGTTTTCGAGACACGCGAGAAAACACAGACACACAAACACATGGACCCGACTGCAATACCCTCGCCAGGCAAGAGTAATAATAATTCTAATCCATGTGTCAAGAGCAGTGTATTGTAATTATTACTATTAGTAATTGTCAAACTGTAAAAACAGTATCTAGCCCCATATCTGGGCTATTAATACTAGCAATAACACATTAACACATAGCACAAGAACTAGAACGTAAAAGTTTCGAGACTTGATTAGTTTATAATAAATCTTGTCTTACTGAATCTTAATTTTGACTTAGAAAAAATAACTTACATCACACAATCTTATTCGAGTTAGTGATAGTGATAATGTTATACCAAAACTAAAATAAATAAAAATTGTCTACCCACCTATCATCACTTGTATTTGGATGTATAACGGGCTTTGGAGTTCCTGATTTTGGTACGTTTCTTCGTCCTCCTGCCATTTCTATTATATTAAATCAATGCCACTTGTATTGTAGGCCTAAAGTAAACTCCAGATAACCAATAAAATCAGTTATCTACGTTAGTAATGGTCGTCATTTCTAAAAACAAAAAACTCTCCCGTTGAAATATTGGCGCTTTTCGTATTATTTATATAACCTTATCACTATTAGGTTATAAATCTTAATACATAAAAACAAAATCATTGGTTTTATAAAGTAAATTACTCAATTAGAAATATAATACATTTTATGTTAAACTTATATTACAGTGGAAAATAGCATATTGCTGTAAGCTATATTTTCTGTGTTGTAATTTGTTTGTTATCTTGGGAAGTTGCGGTCGTAATAATGATGTTCAAGATCCAAGGTTCAATAATATAGGCCTACAAAGTTCTAAAGATTTGGCGTCAAGTTTTCTAGTAAATTAGAGTGTAAACGATAAGTTTGTTTGTTTGTAGTGAAGCAGAAAACTACACAATGGGCTTTTAGTGCTCTGCCCACCACAAGTACGGAAACCCGGTTTCTAGCAATGTAACTTGTACGTCCGCAAACATAACGCTTTGCCACTGGGGAGCATAAACTATAACATTTTACGTACGAGATTCAGAGAAGATACTAGTAGTAGTAGTTAATAACACATAAAGTTTAGTTAATCAATCAGTTTAGAAAGTATTTGGATTTTTGCTAGCTATTGCACTTACTGAGTTACTTTGTGCAAGTAAGTCTATTTTTAAGTCAGTTTGATGCTGTTAGCGTCATCCCTAAAGGTAGCCAAAAGTTACTGCAGAGTTCAAGCATGTCCAAAACGTTAAGGAAGAAATAAATTAATTTGTTATTGTTTATATGGACTGGACTTTTAATTATTTTTGCCATATAATATAAAAGAACCTGCCAACAAGAGAACAATACTGTTGCGTCAGCAGTCACATGACTACAGTGACGCAACGTTTCTAGAATTATCATGTACTTTGGCGAATGCTCTAGTATTTACTAGTAGGGTAGGCTGGTATATATATAAGAGGGGAAAACGTGACGCGGTAGGTAAGGTAATGTGTGAGTAGATAGTGAGTAATTGAACTGCAGTCGGAAGTATTATTAACGTTCGTTCATTACAGTGTTGTTTTAGCGCGAGTATTGAGATTAAGTGTATCGCAGAGTTATATTCTGAAAG